GAGGCACCTTGCGTGTACTGCCTCGAGCCATCTCTTTTATTTCAATGTTTGTGTTGATTTCCCAGTGTGACCACTGGGCGTGTGAAGGCGACGCCGAGACGGTGTTTTCGTGAATCTCCCGTCTTTGCCATTTTGTTCTCTACGCGGATAGTTTTTCTTCACCCGATTATCAACATCTTAGAGTTGTTGTCGTTGATGTGTTTGTTTGTTTGTTTTTGGGTTGGGGGCTCGGACGAGCGAATGTACTCGCACGTGTTTTTGGTTGGCGGAAGGTTAGTGTCTCTTGACATCTAAGGAGAAATCTCGCCAAGGCTTTCCAGTGGACGTCTGTCCCTGGGAGGTGAGGACCAGCAACATGTGTTTTGGTAGAAGAGGTTATATAAGAGAATTTGGGAAAAAAGGAGGTAGTCGAGCCCTGGAGCTGGACAAGTCGCTGCTCAACGCGGTTCCTCCCTGTACGCGAGTCTTACTGCCGTATTCTTAAACGCTACTCAACTCGAAACTCGACTAGAGGGTGGTTTTGCGATTTATAAACAGATCTCCACTCGAAACTCCACTCGACTCCAAAATTTACTCGAGATCTCGAGCCTGTGCAGGAGCTACCTTGAACGGTCACTCGAGTCACTCGAGTGCGTTCAGTGTCATAGCGGCCGATGCATCATTTGTCGACTTCTTGTTGAGAACAGACGAATTTCTTCACGACGACCCAGACCCCGACCAGGCAGTCAATGTGCCGAGACGATGTTGCCAGGACCGACTTAATTCGCTGGAACATTTCAATGACTGGGAGTTCCTCGTGCGATATCGTTTCACGAAATCGACCGTCGTAAGCCTCCTCCAGTGCCTTCCGCTGGAAGCAAACGAAAGCAGTCACGGCCTGCCACTGTCCCCAGTGCTCCAGCTCCTCGTGGCCCTGAGATTTTATGGCGAGGGGACTTTTCAAGTTGTTACGGGCGATCTCGTAAACGTGTCTCATACGACGGTGTGCGGTGTGATCGAGCGTGTCTCCCGGGTCCTCGCTGACACTCTCTTCCCCCGCCTCATGAATTTCCCGGAGGGTGACTGCGACGAGGTCATTGGGGATTTGTCGCACGTGAAAGCTCAGAGATATTGTGACTGATATAGACTAGAACTTGTGAAGAGATCTGTACTCTGCGACAGAGCAGAGTGGTGGCGGGCCAGCTGTACAAATTATTATTTCAAACATTATTTTTTTTAAATATTCAAAACAAGAAAACAATTACCATCTTAATCTACGTATATCATTAACTATGAATTATACTAGAGGGTTCAAAACCAAGAATTATGCATTGAGTGTTTGGAAACATACATTTGATTGGGTGCCGAGATGGCCCTTGTTATTTTCTAGCAAGCACTCCAGTATTTTCCCCTTGAATTATACTCGTCGAAGAAAATATTAGTGAGATTTTATCCCGTGCTCCCACAAGAATGAGTGAGGGGCTCATCGGCCGGCTTGTTCGTGGCCCACCTACTGAGACCATAAGAATTCGAAGCTCACATTAGAGAAAGTATGAACAATCTATGGGATGAAGAATACAAAGTGCAGATTGCATTTTCGCCTCCTTGCGAGATAAAAACAATTAGGGGGACTACGAGCGAACCCAACAAAGAGCATCTGGCACAACCCAGCGAAGGATTACTTTGAACCACCTGGGAACCTTCTTATGGGCGATTGAATGCTGGGCACTTTGTTGCAATAAGCCTCCGTCAAATTGCGGGGACCTCATATTTTTCAGTGATAATTGTAAAAAAGAAATTTCAATATCACAAATGTTCAACAAAAAAAAAAATGTCAAAAAGAAAAAATAGGCCCACTTTGGATTGAACCTGGATCCGCTGCGTATGAAGCGGACACCTTACCACTAGGCAACGCTACAGCTTTAAACAACCCGTTTTGACAATTCGTTTCATACGAGACCCAACAAGCTGCACAACGTCGTGGACATAGCATTGTTCTGGCCAAAAAGGACTTCTCTCCAATGTTTACTTTTTACACATCGGGAACGGTTTACCACATATGCAAATGGTCGACTTACCTGTGGCGTGAATGTCCCTTGTCTCGTCAGACTTCGTTTTTTTTGTATCAATTTTTCTTTTTCCCAATGCATCTTAAGTAGCCTAGCGCTTCATGGGCGGACGTTTGGCTGGCTGTTATACTCGGTGCTGAGTTTCTCCCATGCTTTAAGTTTAGCCTCCTTCGGGTAGTTATTTGTCTTTTTTGTTTTCCAGAAGTCACGCATGTTTTGTTACAAGCCCTTGGAGTAGCGCCTTCTTCTCCGCAGTATAAATAAATCAAACCCCCGTACGCTCTTCGGTTTATGCCATTTCCGAGTCATTGCCATTGGGGTCCTCCATCATTCGTCGTGCGAGGCAGCGAGGCGACGAAGCAGGGGTACACGGAAGACAGCGGGCGGCGATAACACGAAAGACAAGATCGGCGAAAACACGAAAGACGAGACTGATGAAACAACGACAGGACAGGACGCAGCCAGCTAATGCGCTTGTTGCCAGACAAGATAACGACTTTGTCCGTTTTACACGTCGAATCTTTATGCTTCCTTAATAAAACTTCGTAGTTCACTAATTCGGTCTTTGAATCATACACTTTTCTAGATAACATGAACGAATATATTTATTTTTCACGTGAAAACGGCGTTTTGAATAGAAGGTTTGGCTATAATCTCGCTCCCAGACGTCCTCAAGCTTGCTGGAGTGGAGAACGGAATCTCGAGTTTACTCGAGATTCCGTTCTCGAGTTCGAACACACAGGAGTTTGAATAAGTGCCAATTCACGTCCGTGAATAACAATGCACTTCGAGTGGAACCGCGCGTCCATACTCCACTCAACTCGAGTTGAGTTTGGAGTCGAGTAGGGGAATGTTTATGAATACGGCGATTAGAACTTATCATTTTTGGTGCTTGCTCTTAGTGGCTTGCCTGCCTACGGGTATCAGTTTTTTTTTTTTTTTCTTTTTCGGGAAATGTGTGTGCGTGTGGTGCTGTGTTGCGTCGACCGAGCAACCAGTCCACTACGCCGGGCAAGTCAAGCATTCGTCGTTCGTCGGACCCAAAACGTAGGCGAGTCTTAGGACTTCGTTTGAACTTTCCCCTAGACTTTGGGTCCAGCAGTGGAGAGTTTCCTTCCTCGGAACTTACATTTTCTGTGGGTCGGCGAACCTTGTTCCCGGCTGCATTTGTGCCGCAAGCAGTGAGTTGTTTCGCATTGTGTTAAGAATTGAGTGTCGTTTTGATTTTCTTCGTGGCCCCACTGCCCAAAGGTTCGCGAATGTGATGTTGGAGTAACGCGTGTTCGCATTTCGTTCTGTTGGTGTTGGTCATGTCGTCATGCATGGCTTATCATTGCCTAATTAAATTTCTTGTTGTTATTTTCACCCCTGCATTCCGTCGCCTCTCTGTTGACTTTCACACCGGGCGTGGAGCTGTCGCCTGTCGCCGGTCAAACCCAATTTTTCTTTATTCTTAAGTAATTTCTCGTTTAATCTCAGAGTTTTTCTTTTATCAGGTTTAGTCATCCGTGACACATGGTCACTGCTGACGTCTGCAAAATTGGCACCTTGATGCATTTCCCGACAGCGGATCAAGCATCACCCTCATCTCCGCGAAACATGCCAGCAGCTTACAGCTCTTACCGTGGACAGCAGCTCCCCTCATCGTCGTCGGGGGTGGTGCGATTATGCCAATCAGATCTGCTTGTCTTCGCATCTTCGTCGACGACACCTCTGGAGTTGTCGAAGCCGCCATGCTTGAAAACAACCCCCTCCCATTGAATCTTGGAGACGACTGGCTTTGTGCTGTTCGCACCGAGCTTTACGTCAAGCCAGCCAAACTCCCAGAAATTCACCAGCTCCACTGAAAACTTGTGGCGCCATGCTTCGAGAAGACCCTGCCCCGGATGGCGAGCGCCAAGCTGTGGCAGGAGATCGCCATTCGAAGGTGGCACGCTGCGCCAACGTCAACAGAACTCTAATAGCCGCGTCCCACTAGAGCGACAGACAGCAACAAACGACAGCGACACACGACAACGAGCGACAGACGACACCGACGGACAACCTGTTTTTCGGAGTCCGCCGTCCCACCTGGCGGACACGACGCAGAACACGGGAACAAGGAAACTTGTTTCCTGGTGGGACTGAAGTCGGCAACAAAACACGGCAAAATACACAGACAAACCGAGTCGGGCGACGCAGTCTTCCCGTTTTGCTAGATGGAGAATTACGCGCCGACAAACACGGCCAAAGAAGAGGTAATTATTTATGTGTTGATGTTTAATATACAGTTCCGGCTGATATTTTTTGTCGTTGTTTACTTCCGCGCTTCCCTCATGACCATCGACACCAAAATAAATCCGAAGCATTCTTTGTGCGCGATCGATATAACTGATATAACCACGAGGATTGGAGATGGGAGCCCCAGCGTCAGCCACGCCAGAGTTCGACTCGGCGCTCGAAGCGACGTTGATTCAAATGGTAGAAGAGCGGCCACTAATATGGGATGTGACCCACCCATCCTATCACAAGAAGACAACGAAAGAAAAGGCGTTCAGAGATATTGCCATCGCCCTGGGCTTCGACGGCAACGGTATGTACTCATTGGTTGTGTTTTCTGCGATTAAAACGTCCGGAGTTGAAACATCTACGCACCATTCAGCCTTCTTTCACGCTCGAACTAAAGTACTGTATTCGAGATTGTTTGAAGTTGTTTACTGCGCTGGCGAGCGCTAGCAAGAAGGTAGCCGCATGCGCGATCTCATCGCGATCGCAGTGCGATTAAATCGCTAGTTTGACAGCACTCGCGATTTGATCGCGATGCGGTAGCGGCTGCAGCTGCTCAGAATCACTGCAACTTCACGCGCATTTAATTACGCAATTTTGTGACCGAAAAGCTATCGCGCCACCGCTGCGACTCGCCTGTACGCGCGCCTCCGGAGTGCACATAACTGAATATGACCACGAGTCCAATTTACACCAAACCACATTTATTCGTCCAGTTTGGTCGACAATTTACAATGTCAGCGAATGAAATATGGTGACACAATTGGAGCATTTGTATACATTTTGATACTTTGATAGTTCTAACAAGTAGTTTAAACATGGCTTGAAACACTCAACAGCATAAAACGAGGTGGCAAGATATATGGAGTGTGAATATTTTGTTTTATTGCATTGCAGTGGAAAAAGTGAAGAACAAATGGGCAAATATGCGGTCCCAGTACCAGAGGGAAAACCGCAAGGTCAAGGATTCGAGCCGCTCTGGTGCTGGGGCCGATGACATCTTTGTTCCAAAGTGGGCGCACTACAAGAAAATGAGGTTCTTGTCGGCTGGGGCTCCTGAAGCCCAAAGCGAGTCGACACTCGAGACCTCCCAGGAGGAAGTGGTAAGTGCCCATTTTGGAGGGACCTTCTTTTAATCGGGAAGGAGCAACACAATTCAGAACACATATCTGTGCCACTTCATTCAAGGCATCGCCCAATAATTGACTCTCAGGATGAGCACCTTTACCCTTAATAATTCCTTAGCACATAGTTGCATGGGCAACACAAATGTTGGCTTCAGCAGATGTGCCAAATCTACAGGTCACGGCTCACACTCAAACAATGACAAAAAAGTTCTTTAAAAAAAAGGCAGTTTATAGAGATTAGTATCACTGTTCCAGCCAACAAACTGGAATATGGAATGATTGCATCTGTGCTCCATACAAATTTCAGGGGATCCTTTCTCGCCAAATGAATTACCTCTGTATACCTTAGCTTTCGTAATTGATAATTTGCGATACATTCGTTACACACACTCAATTGTTCTCATGAAAAGCTTTCTTTGTCAGGCTTCTGGTTTCAAATATGCATGTGTACTTTAGAGCTTGTGAATACGAGAATAAAAGAGAAAACACCAAATAATACGAGAAGTGGGATAAAAAATGATGTGCAGGATGATAGCCTCGAGCTGATTTATGAGCCGAGTGAAGAAGCTGTGCAGTCAGCGCCTCCACCCTCCAAGAAGAACTGCCGCCGCACGGAGGAGGCGGCACCGAACAGGGCGGTGCTGCTGCAGGCAGCTGTCGACAGCTTGAACGCTGCCAAGGAGCCGCCGCAGCCGGACGAGTGCAGAAGCTTCGGCGTTATGATGGAGTGCTGCGCCCGCAGCATACCAAGGGGTGCGGACAGGCAGATGGCCATGCTGGCCGCCCACAGAATCATGGTGGAAAACTCAATCGCAGCCAGTTTGGTCGTGGTGCCTGAAGGAGAAAATTAAAAGTTTCAGTTTGAGCTTTATATGGTTTTTTTGTTCCACAATGCCCCACACTTTCTCACTGGTTGTGTGCGGTGCTGAAAAAAGGTACTCAGCAGAACATGCACATTTGTGATAAGCTCTGAGGTAGACCCACCCGTGCCCACACTAGGTACTTTTCTGTTTCAGTGCTTGTGCCTTCTGCACTGCTGCACAAACGTGCTCGGGCTAAACAGTCAAATGGGCTGAGGGAGAGGACACGGGCAGTCTACAGCAAAGCTGTAAACTGCCGGTGCAGAAAAAGCACACAGCAAGACAATATATCAAATTCTACTGCAAGATAATGAGCTTTGCGCATGCTCAGCAAAGAACTTTTCTCCGTGCACAGGGACAACTTCCCTTCCAGTAGAGATAGTCCATTCACAGGCAAAAGCAAGGCAAATTGGACGTGTCAAGTGTTTACACAACATAAGGCGAGTCCACTTTTAAAATATGATGACACTGGTTCTGTGCTACAACTGCTAACCTGGGGGGTCTTTATCATGTATCGTGGAGTGACAACAGAACCGCATGCTCGTGCCATGCTCGTCCTTATTGTAACAAGCAGGAGTGGGAATTGAACCAAGCATCATTCTGTTTTTCAGTGCAAGCCTTCAGTCCCTGCAATCACTGGGCACAGTGTAGCAGATTTAGCTCGAATAAGTCTGGAGACTAAAACCGGACAACAAACTGCCACATTGTCAGGCTCCTCGCCCTTGTCAAACAGTTTTCTTTTTTTTTTTCTGTTATTTCGTGTTGAGGTGCACAGGCCAACTGTGTGCATGTTGCATGTTGCATTTTCACAGCTACAGTGTTAAAGGGATGCTGAACCGAAATTTTTGGGTGGAAATTCTTGGTCGCAATGGCATACATAGCCTGTCCTTTACTTCTAAATGACGTTGTTCTGAGCAAGAAGGCGTATAAAATTGAATAAACACGAAAAATACAATTTTACGCGGCCCCTGGTGAGCGTCGTGGAAAGCTCGCTTCGTGACGTGCGCATTCTCATTCGCCTCAAAAGACAGACAGAGCCAAGCCAGGCGCTAAGCCGGGTGGCATTTGTTATTGTTAGTACCGGTTGCTTAGAAAACAGCCGCCGAGCGAAGAATCAAGGGGAGCACCAACGAACGAGGAGAATGCGCGGAGGCACCAGGGGCGCAGATGGCACCGAGAATGCGCACGTCAGTTCTGTTACGCCTGCTCTCAGAAGGACTCGCTCGCGCCGGCGGCTTCCAGCCGAGGATTCACTCTTAGTTCAAAGAAATACAATAATTCGGGCCCCATCCGTCTGATTGAATATCGTTTTTAGGTACAGTACGATCCCGTAAAGCCCGCTCGGGCTATAATTATGAGATTTCAAATATCGGTTCAATCGTTTTTAGGTACAGTACCATCCCGTGAAGCCCGCTCGGGCAATAATTATGAGATTTCAAATATCGGTTCAGCATCCCTTTAAACTTGTTTCATATGCTGGAGTGTCGTGTCTCTAGTTTTGGTTGGTGTTGCTGCTATCAACTCTGCTGCGGTCACACTAGCCACCCTGTTCAGTTGGTGTAGAATCCAACATTGCACACACTTCAAGGATCATAAATAATTTGTAGTTCTTCGTGTACAGTAGGAGTTCATTGTTGTCAGAACTGCCTGATGGGCCCGAAGAGTTAAAAACAGCACTAACAAATTTCTATGCAACTCTGTGGTTTCAAATTGGGCTGGTATTGGGTGAGCTTTCACAAACTAGTAGTACCTTAAGTACAGTAGCACACTTGCTAGGCTGATGTATAAGCCAAGCAGGTGTGCTGCTATGGTACTTTGTGGCACTAAATTGGCCTCCTCTAGCTGCGATGCCTATATTCGCACACCATGCAGACAAACCAACAAAACACCGTAAAAACTTATTCTTCCATTTTGTTTTGTCTCTAACCAGCTAGCAAGTAGGATGAGAAAACTGTTGGATTATTTCGAAATGGTTTAAGATTATTAAGAGCGCAGGATCGCATATGAGTGAATTCAGACAGTGGGCTTGAGCGCATGCGCTTATCTTCGATGGAAATAAATAGAATGGTATGTCTTGCAGTTCGGCCAGCCTTTTCTTTTACTTTTCTGCTTTCGGAGAGCAACAAACTTCTTGAAAGCTACAACACCTTAATTTTTATACATTATACTCAACTGTTTGGCTATACAGATGGCCTGTTGGAGATGTTATATATCTTATTAGCAACCAAAATTAAGCGAAAACAATAGTAAGGACGCAGTCGAGCGTGGACTCAGCGGTCATACTTAGATATGCCTGACTATGTATAGACAAAAAAATCTACATGAAAAGAGGGACACATGCAAAATGAAGTCGGTATAGGTGTCCTTTTTTTTTCAGTGTTTACCTACAATGTCTTGGGTTGCAGATAATGACGGCTTCAGCGGACCTGAGTAATGTCGTAATACCCCAACAACTGTTTTAATGGATGCTACTTCGTTCCTGCATACAAACATGACATACCGTTACTCCAGCACCTTCCACTGCCAAGAAACCTGGCCTTCATTCATGAAGTAGTCTCTGAAGACCTCACGAACAGCCTTGGCGTCGTCTGGTTGTCTGCCACCAATGCGCTCCAGGGGGAAGACTGCTTTGTCGTTCACACCCTTTCTCCAGCTGCCTTGACGTACAGTGACTGAAACAAGTGAAATGAAAATTAATATTTTTTTTAACGCATTCACCACCAACTAGCAGTATTAGAGATTAACCGAGTCTTTACTACAAGTTGCAAAGACCCTCACAAAAGAACTACGAATGCTATGAGGCTGTGGAGTAGAGTTTATCTGATGCCAAGCATTTGCAAGGCATGAGCACTGCCAGGAAAAAATGGCTGCACAAAATGTGAAGGAGAGCAAGGAGTGCATGGCACGACACCAATATAGCAAGGAATGTTCACATACAAGCCAACAAGTATTGTCCAGCTACAGCAGAACTAGAATGGCACAAGCAGCTTGCTTATAATGGTGTTGCTTTAGATGGGCTGTTAAGTTCAAATGTGGCATGACCAGCTATGTCCACATACGGCTCTGCACATCTTGCTTTCTTTGCATTTTTCTTGCACGCCATGCATTGCAGAATTCCTAAATAATAGCAAATTCGGGTAGTCAATCGCTGGCGAGACTGAGCCGGCGGAACCGGCAACCAGAAACGCGCTGGCGGCACACCACGTGACCCTCAGCGCCCGAACACGAAACGCCAGACAGTGGCGTTTACCTCGCCTCCTGTTCGCGCGACACTGCTAGCAAGAGGCTATTGCTGCCGTCACCCATGCTCCAACGGCTTGGATTGACTTGAGCAGTGGCTGCTGAAGTGACTTCAGATCAGTTTAATTCTTTTGTTCATTTTTTTCTCACTGACCTTCTCTCCCATTTCGGAAGTAACGACACTGGATACAGACTGGCGCCTGCTGGCCCGGCCGTTTGGAGCTCGGGCCGAAAAAGCGCCGGAAAGTTGCCGTTGCTTGCCGGAGAACCACCACCCGAACGGTGCGCGCCGGCCGGAAACTGATTACGGGAACACTATTGCCGGTTTTCCGGCAAAATAAGTTGCCGGCGACTGACCACCCAAATTCGCCATAAGGAACTTATTCCATACGGCACTTATTGCTGTGCAAGAGGTCGGCACACTCTTTGGAGGGAAATTGTGTTGCAATGAAAAAAGCCACGAGCTGACTGTTGTTCTCTTGGCCATAGTCATTTCAATTCGAAGGAACGCATACGTCTTTCCACAACAGTATGTTTCATGGATGTGAAACCGGTTAAACAGTAACATTAGATCTTTCGATGTGTTGCAGTCTTGCATTAGTGCACCGAATAGTGCTGTTTACATTCAGAAATAGCTGCAAGCAATAATAATGAGTGGCATTGCCATGGCTGCTGACCAGAAGAATTGGGGGACCCTCGCTAGAGCACTACACATTTTGATTGTGAGCAACACGCTGGAGATGTGTCTAGTTGTACATTACGCAACTATTGAAAATTGAAAGTGACATATCTACACCAGTTGAACAGCTAATATCGCATTTACCTGTGAGCACGTCTTCAACATCAAGGCTGTCGGGTGGTGTGTACCTTGCCCGCGTGCCGTTCTTCGTCCGAAGGTAGTTGTGTAAGGCAATAGTCGCCTTCACAACCTTCACCGCTCTGTCCGGCTTGTGACGAAGAGGAGCCCCATAGACTTGGAATCTGTTCCGGAGGATGCCGAAGCCGTTTTCAACAATTCGGCGTCCCCGGGAAAGCCTGTAAAATAGATTGTAATCTTGTTCAATCAATGAGGAAAAAAGGCAAATTAGCTAGAGTGTTGCACTACCCTAAAGCACACACATAGAAAGATGCCAGTGGTTCACTGATTGCTAGGATGACTGCTGAAGCTGTGGATGACACTCTGCTATTTGACTTTCAGCAATATTGCTGTGCGCACGGCCGAGCAAGTAACACTAGGTCACAGACTTTTAAAAGATTTGTAGTTATTCTTGCTCGGGATGTAACTGTTATCATTTTGTCCAACTTCCTTGTTCTTGAAAATGCCTGTTCATCCTCACCCCGAACGCTCATACCTTTTGGGCCGAATTTTCAAGATGCTAACACACACTATACTCCGTGTCACAATAACTTGGCGAACTGTGGAGGCTGCAGCCGCCGCGACCCAATAAGGGTATCGGAGCAAGGCATGTGACAGCACTCCAAGGCTGCGGAGGCCTCGTTACCACAACAGCAACAGCGGCCTACACAACAAAAAGTAGTTCCAGGCATCTTTTTTTATTTTAACGGCAACTGAAGTTGCGTCATTACACTACGCTACACTACACGGAAGAAAGACGAAGATATGTTACTTTTAAAGAATACTTAGAGATGCTGACACCCCCAAAATTTATTTTTTGTTAGGCAATCCATTATGGTGTCAAAAAAGCTACCCAATCAATATTTTGCTACAGCATCACATATATTTTTTAATAAAGTTAAAAAATGCAACTGTTTGAAACTGAATCCAAAACTGGACTGGGGAGGAAGAAGAAATTAAGAGGAAAAGTGTGTGGAAGCCAAAGTGTGTTGGCAGAAGTCACGTGTCTGTGCAACTTTTATTTTTCATTCAACATATTTGAAGCTTTTTAAAAGCCACAAAAAATGAGTATCATATTTTTATTTTATTTTTAATATTGAGTGTGCGCCTTCGATGACCCACGACTCTGATTACCTTTGGTGGTTGCGTCTAAACCACAGGAAATAGCATGTGACCACGGAGAAGAGAGTGAGCGCCACATGTTTGAACGATCACAGCCCTGTAGTCGACCACTGCCACTCAAAATGTCGCACCCGCCACAGATTCACGGATAAATTGACTGTATGTCTGTCTCATGAACTGTTCTCAAAGACCTCGCTACTCTAGCGGAACGCAATGTTGCGGCGGTAGACATTCATTCCGAGTTGGTTGGTATCGCAGCGGACGACTCTTTGCCAGCAGACGACAGCTGGTTCCTTCAGGCCTCGCATTTGGTGCAGTGACACGAATGCCACCGTGACGTGCTGTCATGTGCCTCACTCCAACGTCCTTAGTAGGTCACAAGGGCCGTAGCCTCCATGGTTCGCCAAGTTATCGTGAAACGAAGTAAAGCTAAGGAGCTGCACGGGACCTTGACGAGTCAGACTCGCTTCAGCGCTCAACCTTTGTGGTTACACCAACTTCGACGCTTGGGACGCTACTGTTCCTCTTTTGTTTACCCGGCACAAGTTCGCCACATTAAATGTTCAGTATCTTTTATTTATCACTTAATCAATTATCATTTGTGACAATATATTCACACCCTTACTGATTGCTTATCCCCATGGCTGTGCTACTTAACTCTCTTCAGCTTGGCCCACACTGCACTCCCCAAACAAATTCAACAGGTCTGGGATTTTAAGAAAACAAATTTGCAGCAAAGGGGATATTAAAATAATGAAGATACCATTTCGGCTGATAACAATAAAAATAGCAAAGCACACCATCGTGCTTGCAGCGTGTAACTTCGCTCAAATAAGAAAAAGTTACTTTCAGCAATTTTGCTGGCGAGATTGACATACAGTCGTAGCATTCTGATGGGGCACATGTGTTGCCCATGTGAAACTAGTATTCTTTATTAACACCAATTCCATCTTTTTGCCTGTCAGGTATCCCTTAATTGTTTCAATCTAGAATTCAGTGAAGCGTGGTTCAAGCCTAACAGAGGTCTGTCATTTTAAATTTTACAGTGCAAAAAGAGAAGAAATTGCTCTCGCTTACCAAATGACAATTACAACATGTGAACCACGCGTAGGGACACAATTGCACGTGGTGATTGCTGAGAGACAAAGACGTTTATTTGCGCGTTTTTGATTCCGACTACGGAGGGCTGGCGACGCTGCTTGTGCCGGTAATACATATGATGATGCCGCTGGCCACACAACACACTCTTTCAGCGCAGCTGCTTTTTCTTGTCAAGCTGCCAGCCCTCTGGGGAGGCCTCTCAACTACATGTTTTTATGGAGCCTTTCATTTTTTTGGTTTAGCACACAGAAAAGGACGCCCATGAAATGCATGGATGACAAATGTGGCAGACACTCCCATAGGCAGCCATGACGGTATGTATGGATGGCACTTTGTTGTTGGCCGTGGTATGCTATTGTTATCCTCGTAACTCGGAAATGCAAGTAAACTGGCAATATGCACTGACAGCAGCATAGTGATCACAGCATATTGTGAGCTCACCGATAGTTGAAGATCCTTTCGGCATCTTCCAGCTCTGACGCTGGAAACGGCCGCATCAGGTATGGCTTCATGCCGAACCCTTCGTCCCCCACGATGACGAAAGGTGCCGTCTTCGTTGAGTTTGGCAGCTGGGCTGCTTTCGGAAACTCAGCAATGCCCCGGCCAATACGTGCCCGTAGATCCGTGGCATGTCACGATCTGCCCACCCTGAGGTGGGCAGATCGTGACATGCTTCCCATCTAAGGCACCCAGGCAGTGAGGGAACTGCCAGATTTCTTCGAAGCCTCGGGCAACTTGCTCCCACTCGCCTGGTGTTGATGGCACCTTGAATGGAATAGGGAATTATGTTTGTCAAGTATGAGGCAACATAGAAATAACTCTTTACTTCTTCTACCAAAAGAACCGTGAAGTTCACTTGAGTGTTATCATGAAAAAGTATATAGAAATATTATGCCTGTAGCTTCATCAAACAGCACCGATATGCCTCTTGGATCCAGTCAGTGGAATCCACTAAGTTGACACTTATTAAATGGCATAGCCAAAAAGTCGACAAGCACGTTCTGAACTAATGTGTTTGCATATTCCACTTGTATGTTCCATCAATGTGCAGAAAAAGTGACAAAATTCGCAAGGTAACAGGGACAGATATTGTCACAAATAACTGGTGACAAGAAGAGCTGAATTAAATAATTCTTTAATGGGGGTGAACTTGTGCCCAGAACAAAAGAAAATAACTGCGTCGCAGGCTTCGATTGTCGGCGTGACAGCAAGGTTGAGCGCTGGAGATTGAATGATTCTGTACAACCATGTGGGGTTCGTTTTATTGCCGCTTCGCTTTCTATAACATTCCTACTAGAACATTTGGCCCTAGGACATTCCTATTAGAACAAAAGACAACAGCCTTGAATTTTCTAGGACATGTTTTACAAGTTAATAAAAAAAATTGCTGCCGGTTTCGGGATTCGAACCCGGGACCTCTGCATGGCAGCCAAGTGTGGTTCCCACTCGGCCACTACACATGCATGCAGCAATGTAACAGAATGATCAATACTTCGGCATCAATACTATAATGGTGTTAGTGTTGTCCATCGCACCTCTAGTTTCAGTTTTGGCATTTCTCAGTCTAATAAATTCGGAAGTTTGAACAGACCCACACTTTTTTAACTCCATGGTTCGATTATCGAAGCCTAGATGCAAGAAAAGCTTGTATTATCTCTAGTTTATTTCACTTAGTGTAGAAATATGTGGTAATGAATAACTCGAAAGCATCGTTGCCAGCTTATATTCGTAATATTTTGTTATTTGCATTACTCCGTACAGATGAAAGAGCAGTTCAGTGTATATGTAGTATGATACATTAACTCTGTCTTGCTGGCTGAATTATGGAGGGGTTAATGAGTTAATGTGAAGCATGTAAGGATTGCTCTAATTATGCTGACAACAAATCATGTAGGAAAAATCTACCTTTATGTAGTCGGGGGCCAAGACTTCATAGATGGCGACGCAAACGTCCCGGACTATCTTGGAAATGGTATTATGCCCCCTTCTAAACTGGAAACCCATGGAGGCGAAGGTTTCCCCTGTAAGCAAGAAATGATAGCACCGAGATCAGAAATGCACAGCACAGAAACAAGTATACCATCATGAAACACGAGAGTACAGCGTGTTTCACCTAATATTGCAATTGCTTTCTTTCGCAAACCTCAATCACGTGCTAAAATACTTAATCGTGACTTGGCTCCTATTAAAATTGAGAAATTGAAGACTTGAAATTCCCATGCAAACGTTACTCCACAAGAGTCGACCGTGCATGAATACCACGAGCGATAACTAGCACTGCCAGTATGATAAAGAATATCAAATCGATGCATCCGGAAACCGCAATATTTTATTTCACAAACGCCGCCGCGTTTGTGTTTCAAAATAAAGTTTGGACTGTAAAATTGCTTGTGAAAATCAGGAACTCGACGCATTAGGTAGAAACTTACCCCGAATACGTCTTATACTTGCCGGATTCCAGCAAAAAATTTTAAAGTCTCCACTCACACTCCAAACAAAACAAAAAACAAAAAAAAAGCCCCAAATTGGTGTAATTTTTTTTCTTCTTCTGTATGTAGAAACTTGAAATTTGAACGCATACGTGGGAGTAGTAAAATATGTATTTGAGGTAAGTTCAACCTTATACGTACAGTTGCTGATTTTTTACGGGCCATTAATATTAGCTTGTAACTTTGTTTGTAGACAGTAAAAGAGGATTGACTCAATGTATCAAGTTGAAGGTTACCTCGAATATGTAATTTACTAGTCCCATTTACACATTAAAATTCTAAGCCTCTACTCCATGTGCAAAAAAATAAAAAATAAAAACTGTCTCATTTAGTAACATGGGACATTGTTGTTCTTTATTTTTATTTTAATATGTTTGTACTTCCAATCGAAGCTTAAAGTTTTAATGCGTCAATCTGACCAATAAAATAAGTATTCGAAGCAAGTTTCTACTTGATGCGTCGAGTTCCTGATTTTTGCGGGTGATTTTAGAGTCAAAACTTTAATTAAAAAAAAAACCCTGACGATCTGATGTCTTTTCCTTTATGTTTCGATGTGCATGTCTGAATGCGACCAAGATTAATTTTTCAGATATACGTGAAATCGACAAAACAAATGTTCGAGGAAAAAAAATAAAAAAAGAAAATCTACACTGGGTATTGAACCCGCGAACGCTATGTCTGACGCGGATATCTTACCCGCTAAGCTACGTTCCCGCTGCAAACAATTCGCTTTGACAATTCGTTTTATGCGCAACCTTCGGACGGCACTTGAAGGCGTGAGTGGAATGTCGTCGGATGGCACTTGAACGCTCTCCAAGAGCGCCATCGGACGGTACTTTAGACACTAACACTATGTTGTTCAAAAGCAAACTCTGTGCGTAAACAACATTCTTCGGTTCGCTCTTGCTACATGACTTACCAGTGGCGAGGTATCGCAGCGTGATCGCCAGCCTTTCGCCTGCAGGGATGGCTTCGCGGAATGACGTATCTTGTTTCTCGATGAGCGGTCTCACCTTCCTCAACAGTTCTTCAAATGTCCCGGTGTCCATGCGTATCCAAGAGCGGAACGCCTCGGCGTCTTCTAGCGCTAACTCACGCATCAAGTTAGCGTAGCAGCCCTGCTCCCGGTGTCGGCGCAGGTAGGGCTTAACCCACATCCTTCGTTTCGTTGGCAGCTCTTCATCCTCACTGGAGGATAGGGCCTCAAATAAAAGGAGAGCGGCCACAACGGCTCGTTTTTCCGGACAAAATGCCATACCAAATGAAGGCGCTCGATCGGCTCGATGCTCGATCGGCTCGATGTCGAAACGCGAGAGGGAGCGGACGCGAATGCGAGGGCAAGGCGGATAGTTCGTCGGACAGTGTTCGTAGGTGGGACTGCCGCTTCGTGTTCGTGGCGGTACGAGTCAGACGACAAACAAGAACTGTTCTGTCGTCGAGTGTTTCTCGGCGTTTGTCGGTCCCATTTGTCGCTGAGGTGGGACGGTATCAGCGACACACAACTTTACCTTGTCGCCAGACAAAATTCGGTGTTTGTCGTTCTAGTGGGACGAGGCTATAATCGGAACCGATTTTAGAGGATTAAAAAGCCTGGACAACGCTGGAAGTTCCCGCTTACATGCCCCCGCCACTCAGCATGCCAAGTCAAGCTTCGCCCGCCGCAACCCTTTGTGCCACCGCCACCCGCCAGCTCGTCAAGCCTCATGAGCAGCCCAAGCTGGCTTCTCCAACGCCCTTACCAGCTCTGCCCTCATCGGTTGTCCCATTGATAGGGGCCAACCTCAACGACAGTGACCGAAACAGGATTCAAGCCCCCATCTCAAACAGCCACGCGCCTCTCTTCGCCACACACGAGCAAGACCTCGACCTTCACATGGGGACGGACGACAGCATCGACCCGGTTCCCAGAGCCACCCCATACTGCCACCAGCCGTACGGGTACTCCTTTGAAAAAGCTGTCCCCGCATTTTAAGGGCCTCTACGAAATTGTTTGGAAGCGTACGCCTGAGATATTCCGCGTTCGACCACTGCCCGCCTTCGGTAACATATTCCACCAACAAACACATGGTTCACTGCTCACAGGTAAAGAAATATTCAGTGCCATCGCCAGTCCCCCTTCCTGGCCTAAAACAGCAGGAGCCAGAACTCCCCACACTCACGCCTTGCCTGGACATCAACAAGTTGCATCACCACCCTCCTAGCCGCGGAACACCCACCATTCAGTCCCCGCGCCCCGCATTCCATATAACCGTAAATGTAAAATCAAATTGTTTAAACTCAATACTGTTATATTTGCCATTGTAAAAGAGCAGGCTGTTATGATTGAGGGAATACATCTTGTGAACATTATTTTTCTTGTAAGGGGTCTGAGATAAGCTTTCATTTGCAGACCCCTTGGCAAGAGTGTATTGAATTGTCTTTTTCTGTTTGCTTATTGAGTAACTGTTCGATGACTGGCAAATGGCTTATGCCCTTTTCCTTTTTTTTTTCTTACTGCAATATGAATCGTGCAATGCACTCCAGCAAACCTACCGGAGTCAGGCGCCTCAGGCATTTCCAAAATCTCTCTTTCGAGCTAATGCCTACCCTTCGTTAAAGGGGCCCTGCAACGACTTTTTTACTGTTTTTTAGTTTGCACCGAACCTGAGCGCACTGAGCGTGAGCTCACTTACACCAATATTGGTGCACCAGGGTTGCAAGGAGGCGCTGGTACCAGGCAGAAGACGCCTTTGCAGCAAGCTGCGTCAAACAAGGCAGCAAAGTATTTGTTTGTTTACCAGAGCCCATGAAGGTGGCAAGCTCCTGCCCCACCAATTTTGTGGGTGGAGACGCTTTTCTAATTGGGAGGAATCTGATGAAACCATTGGGAGGCACCGGTATCACAGACCAGAGGGTTTTCAATCACAGGCAAATTTCTGTAGTATGTCAAATACAGGTGAATGTGTCGTGCTGCACTGAATGTTGTTTGCTCTATCAGGGAAGCTTCGCACATACTTCGCTCATATAACACAAAGTATACCACATTGTTTTTTAAGAGGGGTATGAAATGAAACTACAGAATATTTCAATAACTTTATACATCAGTTTAGACAGAAAATTTTCCAGTATTGAGCTGTAAGAAAAATCTGCCAATGTATTTTGGCACTTAATTTTTTCAAACAGCGTTGTCTTAGTGTGACAATGGGGGTCGACAGCAAGCAGTTATGAAGGTGTTTAAACAGAGCGACTGATGGGAACTTTGCCAACAAATGTGAGTGATAAAACTGTACCTATGCTTCCTTTTTTTCAAGCGGTATAAAGGGAGAAAGACACTTCACAGGATAAAAATATTCGGTGGTCGGAGGATCTCCACGGCAAAAGTGAACGAAATCGGAGCAGTGGTCTTGATTGCATGATTGTGATGCCAACTGAGTGACAGCCGAGATTTGACCCTGCACAACCAATGCAAACCGAGATCACACACACAAAAAAATTAAAATCCATCTACAAGTAAGAGCCTATTGGTTGCCATGTGTAGATAAGAAAACTAAAATGCGATCCAAATCAATGTGTTTTTGTGCACGCGTAGGCCGTGCAACTCCCAGAAATTGTGAATTTTCTGACGTCGCACTTATTTTGTGCGTTTTCTGGGAGCGCATAAGAACGTTTTACATTTTAAACTTTTTCTAAAGGCGCAAGAAAACACACTGTGACATAATAGGGTGCTCCCGTCTCCTGGTTGATCAGTGGAGGGCACGAGTTGCAGCTCTGCATTTCTTCGCTGTCTGTCGCAGAAGCTGACTGCATGCTTGCAAGTATGGCTGCATCTATGAACTTCCCCCTGTTTCAGACCCGAAGAAGGTGACTTCCGCGGCCGAAAAGAAGGCTGCTGCAGACGCGAAGAACGCTGCTGCGGAAGCGAAGAAGAAAGACGAAGCTGCGCAGAGGGCTGCAGATGCTGCCGTATTCGATGACCAGAGCAAGTGCTTTCAGTTGATCGAGCTCGTCTTTAACTACTCTTGGCTGTACGGAAAGCTTCAACGCGACCACAAAGACGATCTGAAACGGGAAAACGCATGGAAGGAGACCACCCGTCCGTCGGGCATCGTGCACGTCGAGTATGGTTTTGCATCCCCTGACACTGTGTTTTATCATTTTGTGTTGTGCGCATGTTTTTCTTGATATGCGATTCTTGTTGCAGCGTATGACCACGTGGACAAAATGTATCTCAATCGCTTATACATACCATGGTATTGTAATTTATCCTGAGCGTGCAGTCAGGTGTTGGATTGTCTTGGTAACAATATTGGGGAAAAAAAATGATTCCTTCAAAAATCGACAGACAAAGACAGTAATATGTGTAGCGGCCCAGATGATGATTTTTTTTATTTTTTTTTCAGATCTTTGTGTTGTTTTGACAGTTGTTTTAAATAAACACAAATGAGAAGGAAGGAAAGGAAGATAATCTCTGCGTCGTCTTTATTCCTCTTTTTGTTCAGCCCACGAGAAAGTTTTTTCTCGGTTGTATGGAAAAGGCTGAACTCCATTTGTGTCTGCAGACAATCAACCATCATATTTAACCCTTTCCCGCCTGACGGGACACATGTGCCCCAAAAGTTTGCGATTTTTTTTTATCTCCTGCATGCTCCATATCCCGGCAAAAACCTATCGGGACACTGGTGGCATTGGCAGCATTTCCAAAGCGCACCGTTTTGGCGCTGCGATCGCGCGAACACAATTTTCAAGATGGCTGAAAGCATGTTTGCGCGGGCTCTTTGATTCTTGAAACGAAAGTCATCGAAAACGTAAGTAATTTTTATTCTACATTATTGCGCGACCATATGTGCATTCACTATAGCTTCTGAGGCAGCACATATAAATATAGAGCGCCGCCCGGCTCAATTTTTTCAATTATGCGAATGTTTGTTCTCTGGGACATTCATGTCCCGTCAGTACTACAAGACAAAATGGAACGCGCTACAGCATTTTTTGCGCCCTGAAAAAGCTTGTTTTGTTTGCTTAGTTTAGGCTTCAAATTAGGCAAATGTTATTCTGTTCGACGCTTGACGGAGATTTGAATAAATATTGCTATTACTAAATACTACTACTGCTTATTTTTTCAGCATGGCAGCAGGTGGAAGTTCACTTAGCCGTGATGAAATCGACAAGCTCCTCTTTGAAGACCTACCTTGCGATTATTCAGCTGATATGGATATTGAGTCGGATTTTGATGACCCGGATAGGGAACCAGGAAAAACTAACTGCCCACGTGATCTGCAAGAGTTGCTTGACCAAGTCTGGTCGACGCCTCAGAGCCAGGGGCGGACTGCAACCAAGCAGAATCGCACAGCACAGGCGGAGTCAATAACAATGCAGCCTCTGAAGACTCGTGTGTAAGTCCAGAAGAAGTAGCCGCAGTCTTTGAGTTTTCCTTTCGTCAGAAACGCTACGAGTGGCGTCGAAGGCAGCACGTGACTGAGAGACCGGAGTTCAAGGAACAGGAAGGGGCTTCCGAATATGTGTTCTGTGGTTGCTCACCACCAATGGAATTTTTTCTAGGTCTGCTTCACGTGCCACTGCAAGAGGAAATATCTTTTCAAAGCAACCTCTAATGCCACGCAAAAGGGCATTGACCTCCAGCTGTCAACCACAGAGCTCATTGGCTTCTTGGGCATCAATTTCTTGATGGGATATCAACTTCCCTCTTGGAGGGACTACTGGTCAGGTTCCCCAGACCTTGGGGTGCCATTGGTTTCAAGAACTATGTCGAGGGACAGGTTTTCCAGGATACTTTCGAACTTGCACCTAAATGATAATTCATTGTTATCCAGCCAGTGCAACGACAAGCTCTACAAGTCGAGGCCACTGATAGATGGGCTGAATCGGCAGTTTCAACTAGCCTATGGTCTGAGACGAGAGGCCTGCGTCGACGAATCCATCATACTCTTCAAAGGAAGATCATCAATGAAGCAGTATAACCCCATGAAACCGATCAAACGCGGCTACAAGATTTGGTGCTTGGGAGATATGTCGGGCTTTATCCAGACCTTCCAGGTGTATCACGGAAAGCAACTAGAAACATCTGACCTTCAGTCTGAATTTGGGTTGGGGGGCGTGTGGTTCTTGACCTTTCTTCATCAATCCTAGGAAAGGGCTACACGCTTTTCTTCGACAACTACTTCTCCTCCGTGCCACTGATGGCGAAGTTGAAAATGGAAAAAACATGTGCCTGTGCCACAATACGGAGCAACCGAAGGCAGCTTCCAGAACTTCGCTCTGACAAGAGCTTGACACGGGGAGAGCACGACTTCAAAACTACAGAGGAAGGAATAACTCTCTTTAAATGGAAAGACAACAAGGTAGTCTACATTATTTCGAACTACCATGGCTGTGAAGTGGGAACTGTGGAAAGAACGGAGCGAGACGGCACAAAAATAATTGTCTCGTGCCCGACTGCGCTCTCGGACTACAACATGTTCATGGGAGGTATTGACAAGGCAGACATGCTACGGAGTATGTATGGAACCGACAGAAAATCGAAGAAATGGTGGCACCGTTTGTTTTTTGGTTTCCTGGACATATCTCTTGTAAACAGCTATGTCGCCTACTGTGAGTTCAACGAAAAGATCCCCTACCTGGACTACAAGCGCTCCGTTGTGATGGGACTCCTCACCATGGGACAGTCGTCTAGTCGAAAAAGGGATTCAGGTAGCAAAGACGGTGGACAGTGTCTCAAGCGGCGCAAATCCTCCTACTGAGTGTGTGCAGATGTGCGAAAGAGTAGTCTCGGCTCACATTGGCCTGTTTTTGGCGAAAAACGTGGAAGGTGCGAAGTCTGTGCACAGCGCAAGCAAGAATCACGCCTTTCAGCAAATGCACCTGTTGCGGAGTGTTTCTCTGCATATCTAAAGAAAGGAATTGCTTTGGAGCTTTTCAAGAGATTTCCTAACAACTTCGTGTTTCTTATAGGTCAGTAGTACTGACGGGACACACTGCTCTAGTGCTCCCACAACTCGAGTATTGTGCTTCAGTTTGGGACCCTTACCAGAATTCACTGAAAGCGTCCCTCGAGAGTGTGCAGCGGCGTGCCGCCTACACAGTCTTGCAGTGCCAGGCTTCCCCTGGACTGCCACATTACCGCGACCTGTCCACGCAAGAACTTCTGAGGATGGTGGGGTGGAACCCCCTAGCACTTCGCCGGCAGGTTGCATCACTCCGGCTCCTTGCTGACAGCCTCCTCCCAAGAGATCAGGAGCTCCCGCTGGTTAAAAGCTTGCGCCTTACTAGATCTGGTGGGCTACAGCCACTGTTCGGTCGCACTGTGCGTCACCAGAACTCTGTCTTGGTGAAGTGTGTAACCCTCTGGCGCTCGCTGCCAAAGACGCTGACCGACTGTCCACCCCAGGAGAAGGATGACCTTAAAGACTGGTGCAAGGAGGTATCGGACTTCCTTCAGCAGTGATCTTCCATGGAAAAAAACGTTGAATGCTTCATTGTCATATTTATTTATTTATTTGTTTCTTTTTTCACAATATGTAGTAGTGCGGCACCACAGGCCTCAGGTATGGGCCAATGGCCTTTCTGTGGTGCCGCAACCCTCCAGGGTTGAATAAAGATATTATTATTATGTCCCAACTCACAAAAACTGTTCTGTTCAATAAATATTTTTTTTTGCTTCTGGGTTTCTTCAAATAGAGCCATTCCAATTATTTATTGAAAGTTCTACTACTCTGGGCAAATGTTAAGTAGGGTCAGGCAGCAAAGGGTTAATTTTAACTTTTGATTCAGCCAAGCATTTTTTCAAACATTTCACGAACAATAATGACAAATTACAGCACCATCCAGCCCAAAACAAATTTTTACGATTCTTGTTCTATAGATTGGTTTCAATCGGCCTACAAAGTATACATAGCATCGTACACATACCAGATGTTAGTGAGATCGGTATTAAATGTCTGTATTTGATTCACTGCTAAGCTGACGGGCAGTGAAAGCTATATACTCTCTAGATCAGTCAGTCACCTGCCCCTCCGTGCCTGATCCATTCTATGGCCATGACTATCCAGAGAGTGTGACCACGTTGTAGGCATGCAAGCTATTGTTGATTGTTCCTACGAGCGTGTAACTTCTACCGCCCAGTCAGCCTAGCAGTGAACATACTATAGTCATCTGCATGAGAGCTTGGCCATTCATTTCTAAGGGTGGGACTAAATTTGTTGCGCAAGTGCTTTAAACGGGCATTTTGTGTGTGCTGTTTGTTGCCCACGAAACATAATTACCTATGGCATTTTTGACGTCTTTTTCACATTTCTGCATGAGTATATTGTCACGAACAAAGTGACGAAAGGATGAACAGTAAACTGAAAAATAAAGGTTTAATCGGCGAACTTGTGCCAAACAAAAAAAGTAAAAAAAGAGTGTCAAGGCAGCAGAAAAGCAGGCAGCGGACCGGCAGCGTAACAGAGCGAGAGCGAGACTGAATCGACAAGGTCACAGGCAGCGGCATATCTACAGTGTGTCACTATCTCGAAAGATTGACAAAGGAAGTTTGAGCGTCACGTGCTCGGGGCGAGGATGAACTGCCACTTTCGAGGACAAGAAAGCAGGACATAAGTTACAATAAAAACCAGAATAAATGCGAGTCTTCTAGAAGTCCGTGACTGAGCGTTGCTTTCTCGGCCTTGCGGGCAGCAATATCATGTCTGTCATGCGTGTCCCGAACAACATATTTCTCTCCAGACGACATCTGCAAGGCAAAGTAGAAGTACCTGAGGGACAAGTACGCCAAGGAGGCGGCCAAGGTGGCAGGAACAAAGCGCTGCAGCTGTGGAACCTCGGACGTCTACAAGCCAAAGTGGATCCACTTTGGCAGCTTGCGCTTCCCAACTGGCACCTCCAATGTTTTGCGGAGGTATACTTTTCATATTTCTCATTGGTTACTAAAGCCCTTATCTTCATGCAGTTTACTCAGCATACAACTACATGGTTCTTTCTGTCAATTATGCACGTCTGAGGCTACAGGAACTTCAGAAAGCCAGTCCAGCACTCAAACTGGAGGTAAGATAGCACACACTGTGTTGCGGCGTCTCCTCATCATTACCGTAAAATACCGGGCAAGCGCCCACTCAAAATCTAAGATAATCGCGAAAAAATGGGGAATGGGCGCTTGCCCCGTCATCAATTTTACATATCAATGTACTGAGCATATTTTCTCAGATCTTACAACTTTGGGAATGGGCGCTTAGTGTGGAATGGGCGGATACGCGGCATTCTACGGTATGTTTGTGGGCTTATAGTCACCTTTCCAGCTGTCTTTCAGAAGTGCTGCCATGTGCGATGGAACTTGAACTCTTCTATTGAATTCTAGGAGTGACTCCATCATGCGACAAGGCACCTGAATGCACCACAAATGCAACCAAGGCAACTGATGACCAAGATCCTGCGGAGATTATTTGCCCATCTTTACTTTCTTTTCGGGCTTGCAGACTAATGAGCATGGGCCGTAGTTTACAAAAGCTATTTCTTATTGTTTTTTGTGTGCATTCCTCTATACAGTGCTTCCACATTGTGGCACTTCCTTTGGCTTTACAGCTGCCTCATTTCATAAAGCGAACAGCACCACCTTCTCTCCCCCCTCGCCCCATTGCTGTTTTTTTGGATGACCCTTATCTCTTACATACTGAGGACACCGGCTAACCACCTAGATGAGGGGTCGGCCCCTGACACAGCGTAAACCCTCTGTGCAGTCTTTGGGCCAAACAGATTTTTTTGGGGTTGATGTTTTTGTAGAATGAAAGCCATCGCAGCTTTCCGATTTTGATTCTGTCTGACATTACTGGTTGATGTTTCACTCCAAACCCAAATCTGGGATTCCCACAGGTAGAAGAGCTTTAGAGCTTTACCTTAACTATTCCGACAGTGCAGTATACTTTATCTCAGCATAACTTTCAAAATGGTTAAAAGCTGCATCCCTCACGAGGCAATCGGAGCGAGGCATATGACAAGCCCTCCGCAGGGGGCAGGGGGATTGCAACCTCGGACAGTATGCTGTCGCGCGTCTTGCTTTTACAGTCCTTGGCTGGCTGGGCCATTGATTTAAATGTTTAGCAAAGTTATGTTTAAACAGATTGTAGTGAGTCTAATCGCTCAATGTTCTTGTTGCAAAGACACCGCTAGCAAAAACTCTTCAAACTCAAGGTATTACATGGTTTGAGGAAGGAGGACTCGAACAACATCTGTATCTTTCAGAAATAAGATCAGACAGACTTCTGACAAGTTCAAGATGTTCATCCAGTGGAGCTTGCTCATTTTAAGTGGATCATGAGTCAGAGGAGTCGTTCGCAGTGTTTTTTGATGATGGGTAAGATGACTCGTCTAGTTAATTTTTACATCAGCTTCCTACGTTGGGGTTTTCAAATCTAAGCAGTACACTGATGCTCGGTGTGTAAATGGATGTTTTCGAGGATAAAGCACACATAATCACACATGCTTTTGCAAGTGACAAATGAAGAGCTCTACATCTCTGCGTGACTTTTAATTAGTACACTCAACTTGTATGTTTGCGACTCGGCGAGCAATATTGAAAACTAAAATGTGCATTGAGAAGGGGCGCAAGTGTTCTGTAGGCTGGATTTCAGAAATCAGTGCAGTGCCAAAGCATTTAGGCCTTAATTAACCTTTTGTCTTAAAAGGCCTTTTCCGCAAATGTTGGGCGCAATCTATCGGCAAGCAGGAGAAACGTTTTTGATGGCCTGCGTTGCTTCCGGTTCTGCCCGCTCCAAGCTAAGTTGGCTGCCTGAACGCGGTCGGTAAATGCGCTCGGCGTTTTTACTCTAATTAACGAAACCGACAAGTACAATTGTTTTTAATAAATGCATTGACAACGGATAACTTTGTCCGTTTGTACATTTTTCCGAATGAATGGACGACGCTCAAGATTTTTCTCAACTGCGAGCTATTTGTTTCAGTGTTGCGGAATGGGCACCCCATTCCATTCCAATTCCATTCCATTCCATTCCGGGGAATTAGAGTTTTCGATAATTCCATTCATTTTAACTCCTAGGAATGGGGACACTGGGCCCATTCCCACTCCTGGAATGGCTGAATCGTTCCATTCCATTCCTCTAATTCCTAAACGTTAAAAGTGTCATTTGACAGCTGCATTATGGTGCAGGGTTGGGCAGAAATATTCAAAAATGTATTTGGAAATACAAATACTGGGATATATGAAAATAGTTGCAAGATCCTGATACTGAAGTCTCAAATATATCTGTAAAAATGTATCGCGATACATATCGGAAATGCATTTAAAAAGAGGCAAAAAGTTTTTGGAAATACAAATACAAGAATACATTTTAGAAAGAGCAGAAATATAAATACTGATAATGCAATACATTTTTCAAATTTCTTTCGGACGCCAACTGAGATGTGGCTTTAGATTTGAAGTGAAAGTTTTTTTGGTTTTTTGTCCCGAAATTACTTTTCCGCAGGCTTGGCACTTCGCCTTGAAGGTAGTGGTTCCGGGCGAAGAGTCCTCAAGTCAATGGGTTTAAAAAACGTTCCGTCAAGGATTGAGCGCAGTCCCTTCCCTGGCATCCTGTCTGACTGACCAGTGATGCGAAAAAACTTTGACCTCTAAATAAATTCCATCAAAACATCAACACTTCCCCCTCCAATAAGGGCGCCCGTCAGCAGTGATCCCATGACGTCACGGTGGGATGAACTAGTATTCTTGAATCTGTAGGTGTTGAACATGAAA